GCAGAAGAGGACGAACCTTGCCGTATGGGAACTTCGGACGCCAGGCTCATGCAATCTTCTACAGGCCCAATTCAGAAACTCTACCCAGCAGTACCTAAGGAAGGCAAGCCACCACCCACGGACACATCCTACCGTCCTTCCCCTTCTTTTTTTTTTTTCTTCTTTTTTTTTTCACTCACGAGACTCCCATCCCACCACTCCTCTCGATATATATCTCTTTTTTTTTTTTTTTTTTTTTTTTTTAACAACGGGCCCAGTGCCCAAGGCTGATATTACCAATAGAAAAGATTGAGGCCGGGGTCCTCACAGTCTACCCGGAGTAACCAAGCCGAAATTGCTGAGAACCTGATGATAATGATGATGGGAAAATTTGAAAGAAAATATCCACACTTCTGCTACCAACACACTTCTCCTACCAACAGAAACTGGAAAAGTAACACAACCTATTCATCCCTTACCAGGACGCCAGATAAACCTGTTTAAACTAGCAGTGTTAATTCTATAATCCATACCAGGAGCTTGGAACCAGGGCTGTTGCGGGAGGAGGGAAAGGAGCCGGGAATTCAGACAAAGGGCGCATGGGAATTGAAGCATCAATGGAAGTCCAGTCATCAAAAACCAGCTTGTAGTCTCTTTTCAAACCAGCAACATCTTCATTCTCAGCCCTATTTCAAGTGACACAACCAATTCTCCATCTCTGGTTTCCGCCCAACCAATTCCGACTGAATTTACGAAAGTGTCTTTGGATTTCTGCTTTATCAGAGAGAAATTGAACATTTTCCTTTGTTCGTTCCCATTTGGATAAGATGTCTGTTTGAACCTGTTGTTTAATAGTTTCTGTAAATTCAGGCCCATCTAGCCTAGCCCCTTCCCATTCATATGTACATCTCCTCACCCAAATAGCCCATATCACCGCTCTTCTTCCCATATGAAACAGATTTTCTACAAACTCATCATCGTCTTTTACTAAATCTGGGTCGAGGCTCCAGGTTTCCAGAAGGATAACTTTCCAACCCCATGGCCAAGGAACCTGTGGGATTAACTGTGACCAGATCCTATCCCACCACCTCCAAAGCCATACTGAACCCGGACATTGCATAAAAATGTGCTCTATAGTTTCAGCATATATTCTACTTGGGTAAGTTGTTTTGCATAATTTACACCATCTTTCTGCTAGTCCCTTTTGTTCTAACGAGGATCTGTCAATCAGCCAGTCATTTACTGGTAAGCATCTATGATCAATTTGTCATTGCAGAGAAGCTATTTTGACAGGTTTATCCTTGACTGTTTTAAACCATCTGACAGTTCTTAATTCCTCCTTACTGATATTAAAATATTCCATCCATCTGGTGGAGACCTTGTCTTTAAGGTTGATTTTAGGACGAAGCATTCGATATGCTGATTTGACTTTGAGTGTGAGAATCGCCATTTTGAATGATTTATTATGCCTTTCTGTTCTTGTAGCCGAATTCCAGACTCAGTTAGCTGGGTCAAGAGGGAGTTCCGAAATGGGGCAGTCTGGTTTGAAGGCTACCCAAGAATCCTTATTTATGATTACCCTTATTCTGAAAATCCGATATGCTTGAACCCAACAGGTATCCTCTTGCTCCTTAGGAGTTACTACATTTGTAGATGACAAAGAAAAATTTTGCAGAAAAAAACTTCCATTTTGGTCTTGGTCCAGAATTAACCCAATAGACTCAGACTGATCCTTGAAGGCTACCCAGTCATTTATCAATAATTTAGGATCTTTCCTAAGAATACGAAACCATTCAAGAGGGATGAGTTCAATAACCTTTTCAAGTGCTTCCAAAGAATGATGACAATACCTTAGCCTCGTTCTCAGTTTGGAAGGGTCAGTTCACTCATTTGTATCTATGTCCCATATATCATTCACCCTCATAATACCATTTCTAATCCAACCCTTCTAGGGAGAATGCATACAATGGAGAACTAATCCTTGGGAATCACGAATCCACCTGTTATCGAAAAGAGGTTATTGACAAACTTACTCTCACCTTTCTGGCGATAGCTTGTCTGTTAGGGGAAGTTGTCTCCAAACTTTCAGCATGGAGACCCAAAAAGGATCATTTTTTAAATCAAGTCTGACCTTTTGTCTTCTTGAAATCTCTGGTGTTGTTACAGGCTTAGAATTTTCCCTAGGAATAGTCCAAGAACGATTTTCCAACCAAGTCAAAGGGTCAATTCATTCAGGGACTGGAGGAGCAAGCCTCCTGATTTGCTCCAAAACCAATGGTGTCCATGGAGTCTGGGGAATGAATAATAAACGTTGAAGCCATTGCATTGAAAGAGCCTCGACTTGGGTCAGAAGATCTAGAATTCTCAAGCCTCCCCCTACTTTTGGTTGGATAATGGATTGCCATGCTACTCTATTGATGACATTATTGTATTCATGATTACCCCTCCATAGAAAAACAGTTAATTGACGCTGGAGAGATTTAAGAGAACATTTATCCAAAGACCAGATTCCTGATTTATACCATATAGATGCAAGGATTACATTGTTAATGATCATCGTTCTTCCAAAAATGGATGTATGCTTATTCTTCCACGTTTTCATCTTAGACTGAGCAGCCTGAGAGATCCATTCATTGTGATTACTTGGCTTTCCTTCAGCAGAAGGAAAAATCCCTAATAACCTAATTGGGGTTTTCAGGAATAACCAATTTATCCTTGGTACTTCAGGGGGACGCCCACCTTGATGATGAATCCACCAACAAGTTGTTTAGCTACCCCAATTGACTCTCATATCTGAGAGGCGACAAAATTTTTCCATCAAATTTTGAATTTCTTCCATATTCTCATGAGTAGCGCACCCCCACTCCATTTATATCTTACCTCATGCGAGGAACATTACTCTCTACTGGAGCAACCTGACCAGACAACAGACGCAGGCACTGATGTTGAATGAGCTCCCCCATTCAGCCGCAGTCGAGGCACTAGCGTACAAGCCTTAACTTACCCAAGACTAGGCAGAAGTCAGACTAGCCAGAGTGACTTATATCCCTACCTTACCCTAGAGCTAAGCCATGAGTGAGTAGACCCCGTCATATACCTGATAGACCATCCCAGCCCGGTATCATAGTTGTGTGTATACATGTGCCCTGAGGCTATGTGTGTTTGTATGAGTCTGTAGGCTATGTGTATATATGTTCACAAGTCATGTTTGTGTCTGCCCGCAGGCTATGTGTGCTCTGTGTAACTGTATATCGAGATATATGTGCCCGAAGGCCAGATATGTGTAGTGCTATACAGAGGGAACTACGTATTCGTTGAAGAGATAACAGGCCAAGTTGGACAAGAAACCCCCCAAAGTCTCAAGCCAAACTTGAACCCATGATCTATGAAATGTGACCTGAAGACTCTACCATTTGGCAACAATCACAAACGGCACCTGTGTGTGATATGCCAGACTGAGGAGATCAACAGAACAACGACAAGGAACAGCAACAAGCAACCCATGCAGTATCAAGACCCGAGATACAACACGGTGGACAACCCTTGTGTGGTGTGCAGGCAGTGTCTGTAATAGCTTACCATGCGTCAGCCCAGCTGTGCACCATTCTAATGCCCAGCCGGTGTCCATGCTCAAAGCTGCAATTGAGTTTTGAACCCGCAACCTCATACCACAATGCGCATTTCCAACTGATGTTCTAACCACTGAGCTATGCTGGACCCGGTTTCCAGTAGGTGATGCTCCCCACCAATAGATTGGAATCACATGCAAGGATAGCTAGGGGTATATGCTTTCACTATTACCCCTAGTTGTGCCTTGTGACTCTCTTTTTTTAAAAAAAGGAAAGAAAAAATAGTGTTAATACAAGGTAAAGCAAATAGTGAAACAAATGTAACTAGACAAGCTGCAAAAAAGAACATAATAATTCCGGAAGTGTACACTTTTTATAACCACCAGTACTTCCTAAAGTTGTGCCCGTTATCAAAAGTGTACACTTTCGAAATTATTATGTTTTTTTTTTTTTTTTTTTTTTTTTTTTTTTTTTTTTTTTTTTTTATGAGATCTGGTCTTTTTTTTTTTTTTTTGCCCTACGGTCTCGTGTTGGTAAGAGAACCAACGAGATTCAGGAGCTCTGTGGATGAGTCCAGTCCATTGGTGGGGAGCTACACCTGTTGGAGAAACGGGTCCATCGTCCCTGAAAAAAAAGGAACAACTGCCCAATCTGGGAGCATTACCCAGCTTCGCTTCGAGTCACTTGCTAACTCTACCGTATACAGCCTATAGAGTCGCTCAGCCTGAACAGAAATATAAACTGAATCCTATAGGCCGATCTCTCTTAAACAGTAGACTAGCAGTCTCCCCAAGCCTCTACATAGGGGCACTATTCTATTACCTGGTCCCACAAGTGCTTTGAGATTACCAACTGTCCTTGGTCCGTAAATGATACAGTGATACACATTTGGCCCTTCGTGTTCCATGTGTTTTGCACTATGCTTCTCGCTGCCAGGTTATTGAGTGTTCCTTTGGCCCTTCGCTTTTTATTGAGTGTTCCTTTGGCCCTTCGCTTTTTATTGAGTGTTCCTTTGGCCCTTTTTTTTTTTTTTTTTTTTTTTTTAGGGTTTCACCAAATGATTAGGGTTTCCAACACCGACTAGGATTCCGCCACCATACAATGATTAGACGTCGATAAAATCTGGTTAAGACCCTAATACAGTATCACAACAGCAAAAACTCAATACGGTCCTCGCCATCGCAGCTTCAACTCTCATTAACAACCTCTTCATGCTCCAACTCTTATTAACAGCCTCTCCATGAACGCTTCCTCAACCCATAAACTGATCGCACATCTTCCCTGTATCCACTGATCGTACGTCTTCCATCCATTCACTCATTGCGATGATCTCCACCACCATAGTTTCGCTGGGCAAGCAGGAGAACGACCCATGGAACTCTGCCTCGGCAATCGCTTTAACGCTTCTTGGACACACCAATAGTCCTTCCGCAGCGACCGGTTGTCTTCGTATGTTGTCCGCGAAAACGGAGACCCCAGTAGTGACGAAGACCGCGATGGTTCCTGATCTTCTTGAGTCATTCCAAGTCATCACGCAGCTTCATGTCCAAAGCATTGTCCACTTCCTGCGAGTACCTCCCATCCTTGTAATCGTTCTTGCGATTCAGAAACCAGTCCGGGATCTTGAACTGCCTTGGGTTGGCCACGATCACCATAAGATTCTCCAGCTCCGCAGCAGTCAGTTCGCCCGCTCTCTTACTCATGTCCACGTCGGCCTTCTTGCACACAAGATTGGCAAACCGCCGCCCCACACCCTTGATCGAGGTCAAGGCGTACATGTTCTTCTGCCTGCCATCGGCGTTGGTATTCAACACACGAAGAATGTGCTGAAAATCTTCATTCGCGATCAGCGACATGGCTGACACCTGGCTTTGGCGGCGCTAACAGCAGCGATGGCGATTGCAACAGGAATCGCGATGGCCGCTCCCGACTGCTTAGTGGATGCCACCGCGAGAAAAGAAGCAGTAAAGTGTCCAGTGCCTTCCACCATTCTGCACAAATGAGATTACGGATCGAAAACTTGAATTTGTTGTGAATGACTGTCGGGGACCAGTATCTACTGTTGAATCTTTTGTCCCTCCTTGCCATCCACAGCACCCAAAAGGCCATGACTCTGAATTTATTGGATATAGTAGCCACTTGATCTGTATTACGGTTTCCATAGAGAATAAAGTCCTTGCTCCAGACAACTTCTGGGCCGTAGACGAAATGCCACAGGCTGCTCACCCAGTCCCAAAAGCCTCTTGCCACAATGCATTCCCACCACAGGTGACCCGAGTCCTCTAACAATTCATGCGTACAGACATCGCAGTGGGGGGAGACATCCATGCCTTTATTGGCCCACCAGTTTGTCGTTGGTACACATGAATGGAGATGTAGCGACTGCAAACTGGCTACCTTAACTTCCATTACATTGAGAAGCAAAGTAATGAAGAATTTGACCCATGTGTTATTGAACAGAGTCCGCTTTTGGGTGCTCCTCTCCTTTTCCAAATGTTCCATACACCGATCCGCTGAGAAGATGCCTTCGATCGCAGAGAATAACCCAGTTTGGAAGAGTAGTCTGTTAACATGATGCTTGAGGAGGATGAGGACTCATCCGACAGGAACCAGCCTATCCTCCCGATATCCACTTTCCATTCGTCTTTCGAAAAGCCATCCACCATGAGCTTGAATTGCCGCCTGCCCTTGTGTATGTTCTCTGAGACTCCGATTTCCACCCAATTGTCACCGAAGCGGAGTGATGGTCCTCCAAGCTGTTTGATCAAAAATGTTTTGCCCCTGGTCCAAACTGAGGTTGTTGAGGGAGGCGACTCAATCCGATAAATTGAGCTGTCGCAGCCTTCCGCCCTCCACCATGATCCTGCTGGTTTGCCGCCGTTACCCCTCCCTCCTACCCAACTTGGCAACTACCTACTCCCTCCCCTACCCAATAGTAGTTGAAAGATTTCACCTTTACCCCTAGGGCTTCCCTCTGACACAGTCAATTCCTGATACAATAGTTGATGACTTTCTTTAGATAGGAAATGGGTTTTGTTCCTTCTCGGGTCCCTCATGGGTCCTATAAAAAGTGAAGTTGGGTAAGGCTCCCAGTATCGACCTTCGTGTGGGGTGGTCGGCCCCTTTTCTCTTTTTGTTTCTTTTTTTTTAAGCTAGTTCTTTTAAACCTGACCAATTCAATTACCTATCAAATTTGGACAGGACAGCCTTTGAGACCTTTTTTTAATGTCATTATAGTATTACGGGAAACCCCATAGCACCCACATTTGTGCTCTATCCTCCAACGAGGGAACATGTGGGAGCTGCACCCACCAGCAGGTGTTATACTTGCTACAGTAGGTGAGCGATATTGACCACGGGTCAGCCCGTAGCATAAGGACAATAGGTGCTATACCTGCTACAGCAGATGGGCGATACCGACCACGGGTCAGCCAGTAGCATAAGGATGGAGCTTCTTCGATGGGGCAATCTATGCTTTCCCTCCCCTATGAACATCAGCAATCTCTGCTACCACTCGGTATCTCTAAGTGGCGGGTGCCAAACTTGCCCAGGAAGGTACATGAGTTAATGAGAATTGAACCCAAAACCTCTTGAATGTCACTTTGCATGCAACCAGACCGTGGGCCGGGTTATTATAAAGTTAACACCTCAATATTGTGGTTACATTCCTTTATGCAATACCTCTGACAGACATGAGCATTTTGGAGGATCGGAGGCCGGAGTTGGATTCACACATAACATGGCTTAACAATGGTTTATTTTTTTTATTAAAAAAAACAACGAATTTGCGAAGCATTTGGCTGCACAACGACACCAACAAGAGATAGATATCATGAACCAACTCATTGAACTAGAACAACATGCAACTTCGTATGAACAAAACCCCTCTGAACCGTCGGAGGATCTCGCCCGAATGCAGGATCTGAAAGCACATCTCTTAAAATATGCCCAATACCACTGACAGGGTACGCGTATACAAGGGAAACTACTTAGACATACAACGAAAGATGTTATGGACTCTTTTTTTTTTATATTGTTCAGATTAGAGTTAAACTATCTACGATCGAAGCCTTGTATGACCCAGATGCTGACGACGCAGCACCGACCCTGACAACGGTTAGGTGCGTCAGGATAGCACGATATTTTTTTGAAGACCTGTTTGCATTGTACATTGCGTCAATGGCGGAGGATAGTCACCAAAAGCAAATCGAATAATTTTTGGCCCCTCTGGATAAGGCTCTCTCTGAAGCACAAAGAAAGGTTCGCGAAACACCCCTGATCAAACAAAAAATTTGGACAGCCCTCATGCAAATGGACAAGGATAAAACACCAGGTATCGATGATTTTCCCAAAAAGTTTTGAGAATAAATGTGGGACTTCCTAAGGCAGAACCGGATGAAGTTTTTCTCCGAGGTATAGAATACGGGGAGCATAGGGGAAATGATAGGCCAATGGGTGTTTTCTCTGCTATACAAAAAAAGTGACGAAATTAATATTAGAAACTATAAACCCATCACCCTTCTCATAGTGACATAGAAAATCCTGGCCAAAGCACAGGGTAATAAGATGATTCCCGTAATAGAAAATATCATACACCCTTCGCAACATTTTTCATGCAAAACCGGAAACGGGTTTCATGCAAAATCGGAATATCCAAGAAAATATTTTGTTGGTGCATAAAATCCTTCAACTGGCAAGGTATTCACGCTAAAATGCAACTCTCGTTTTCATTGATTTTGAATAGGCATGTGACCATGTATATTGGGAGTTTTTGGACAAGTGTCTGCATAAAATAAAATTTGGACCAGGGTTCAAGCGATGGGTTCGTATTCTCCATTCAAACGTCACCACTCGAGTACAGGTCAACGGATCTCTGGGCTCCCCAATAAAACTAGAGAGCTCGGTGTGTCAGGGGGACCCCATTGCTCCCTTTCTGTTCCTTATTATTATGGAAGCCCTCTAGGTCAATCTGCGCGTGAACAAGAATATCGCCCGAAATAAAATTACATGCATACCGAAGGAGGCGGTCCCTGTTTGCTCCTTGTTTGCGGATGATCTTACAATCATGGTCGAGACCTCCACGAGCAACATGGAAGAGATCCGACATTTAATGGAACTATTCTCGCAAGTCTAAGACATGATGGTTAATTGAGGGAACAAGACATATGGATGGTGGATTCACTATCAAGGAGGACGCCCGCCAGAATCCCCCCGAATCTCATGGCTACCCCTGGAGGCTCCGCTGAGGGTTGTAGGGGTCTCAATGACAACAATAGGCCCCTCTACCACAAATGATGCATGAATATGTGCCCCAACTCTGGCAAAATTGAGCAATTGGAGTAACAAACCCACCTTTATTTTTGGTAGGGCCCTGGTCGTAAAGAATGTGATATTTCCTTCCCTGTGGAACAAATCCTTAATCTAGCCCCTGCGTAAGGAAGCACTTAGACATTGAGGGCCAAAGTGGCAGGATTCATATGGAGAGGGGACGGGGAACGAATGTCATCAGCAGGGTGGAATGAGACTCAATTATCCAACCCAAGGTGGCAGGTGGATTAGGCATAATAGATTCTTCCATACAATCCCAAACCCTCCGCCTCCAATGGGTTAAGAAACTGATTTTTGCTAAACATAGTCCATGGAGGTCAGTTGCGTTCGAACACCTAGCCCTCCTAGCTCCCTCGGCCCCTCTCGGAGTGCACCCTCTCACATGGTTGGAAGACCAGTACTGATCAATCCCTCGGAAGTGGCCGGGGCAGAGGGGGGATCGTAAGCGAAACCGGCTGAGGCTGCCAGGGTAACTCCGGGCTGATTTGTGAGGTCCGCGGCCTCGTCCCATATGTTTTCCTGTGAAATGAAATGTGAATGCTTTCCGAAAAAAATAAATAAATAAATAAATAAATAAACGCAGTGGCATCCCACAGTGGGCTGAAGGGCCAAACTGGACACGGACTTCTTTCGGCCGGGTTCTGTGCTGTATTATGCCGTCTGGCTCTCGGGCATGAACGTGGACTCCGTTCAGGTCAGGTTCTTCTCTCGTGCGTACGGGGGCCTGAATCTGGCCCGTACTGGTGCATGAACGTGGACTACTTTCCGGTTAGGTTGTGCCTTACGGGGGCCTGAATCTGGGCGTACTGGGGCATGAACGCGGACTCCCTTTGGGTCAGGTTCTGCTTTACGGGGCCCTGAATCTGGCCCGTACAGGGGCATGAACGCGGGCTCTCTTCGAGTCGGGTTCTGCCTTCGCGAGTGCGTACTGGGGCCTGAATCTGGCCTGTACTATGATGGCAGTCATTGCGGCATGAAAGCGGACGTCCTTGGAGTCAGATTCTTCTTTCGGGCGTACAGTGGCCTGAATCTGGCTCGCTAAATGATGGCTGTCGTTGGGGCGTGAATGTTGACCTCCTTCCAATCAGGTTCTGTTTTTTTTTTTTTTTTTTTTTCTCTTCCTCCAGGTTCTGTTTTCGTGCTGGGCGGGACTGAATCTGGCTGCTTATAACGCAATGATTGGTGCATGAACGTGGACTTACTCTGCGTCGGGTTCTTCGTTCGTGTATAGCGGGTCCTGAATCTGGCTCGCATTATGAAGACGGCATCGAGGCATGAACATGTACTTCTTCCGAGCCAAGTTCTGCCCCCTTTCGTGAATTAGAGGGCCTGCACCTCAGCCTGAACCCGAACTCGTTTTGGGCCAAGTTCGGGTTTCCTGCCAACAGGACTTTTTCAGCCTGAATATGGACTACGTTCAACGTCCCTGCTAAGAGAGAATCGGCCGTGGCTGCATGGGATCCGTAAAACCGCCAAGTACGTTCAGGATTGATTGTCCAGCGCGGAAGTGTCCCATCTGCTCACATTGCCCTCCGGCAGCGGATGAACTTGTCCGAATATGCGGTCACATGCGCTCACGTCGTCCTCGAGATGTGTGTGCGTGCCGGTTGGCAGTAAGGAAAGAACCTGCTATCTGAAAAAAAACGAAAAGGAAAAAAGAACCCGCTATCTGATGCCTTTTTTATCCCCTTTTCCAAAAGCGATCAGCTAGGAGACAATCTAGGTAGTGAAAAAAAAAAAAAAAAAAAAAAATCTATGTAGTGGGAGGTGAAATTGAGAGACGAACATAAGGAAAAAACAAATAAAAAATCTGCTATCTTCTATGTTGAATTTGAGAGACGAAAATAGCTTAAAAAATAAAAAAGTAAATAAATAAATAAATCATTGATCTGGTTCCCCCGCCTGAGGCGGGCGGCATGGCGATTGGCATGCCATTGCGCGCGCATCGGTGATGCTAAATGCAGATTTGGCCAAAAAAATCAGGAAACGTGTTTGTGACGGAATTGATGATCGGCGGGAGTGGGACGATTCGAGGGCCATCGATCTGCGAAATCTACGGCACAAATAGGCTTGTAGGGTGGGGTCAGGGAAGGGGGAAGGGGAAAGGGAAAGACTCAAAAAAAAAGAAAGAAGTAAAAAAAAGCAAAATAGGGATGAAGCAGAGTGTGTCTGTGTGTGTGTGTGTGACATCACAGTGACCGCACAGCAGCACACCGCACGACCGTCAATATCCAAGCTCGATTCTTCTCTGCTCTTTAGCTGGTCCAACTGCAAACTATACGTAGGGGGTAATCGCAGCCATAGGCGGCGCCGGCGGGAGGAAGGAGGATCCGACCAACGCACACACTCTTCTCCATCCTCTCCTTCTCCTGCATCCCCTACTACTACTACTACTACTACTACTCAGAGAGAGAGAGAGAGAGAGAGAGAGAGAGAGAAAGAGAAGAGAGACTACTCTACTACTACTACTACTACTGAGAGAGAGAGAGAGAGAGAGAGAGAGAGAGAGAGAGAGGTGGCCGAGGGAGAAGCCGAAGTGATGGGTGTCATGACCAGCTAATAGCTGACAAGGTTGAACTTTGAGAAAGAGGAAGGAAGCGGGAAGGGATCGTAAGAGCGTCGGGGATCGGTAGTGCTTTTCAGAAAACGACAAGAAGGTATGCGAGGTGTTGAATTGGATAAGAGTAGCACTGTTGTCAGTGAATTGGCTCGGATCTGTTTGCTCTGACTCCCTTGAGCTGTTTCTTGTACGTTCTTTAATTTTTTTTTTTTTTCTCCTCTTTCTCACTTGCGCGCATCTTTGTGCCTTCTTTGCTCTCTGTCGATGCTTTCTATGATACTTAGAGAAGGAAGGAGTGATCTAAGGATGGTAAATGTTGATGGTGGAGTGTACCAATGCTGAGTTAGTGTCGTCTGTTAAAGCAGCCAATCTTTTCCCTCCTGCCTCTCCTCCTCCTCCTCCTCTTCCTCCTCTTCCACTTCCTCTTCGTCCTCTTCCTCCTGCTTGTCGTCCAAATGGTTATGGTGGAGATTGCCGATGTTGATTGCTTGATCTCTGCAAAGCAATCCACCGTTGTCCTCCTCATTCTCCTTTTCCTCCTTGTATTCCTCCTCCTCTCTCTCTTCCCTCCTCCTCCCTCTTTGTTCCTCCCTCGTCCCTCCTCTTCCTCCTCTTCTTCCTCTTCCTTTTCCTCTTCCTCTTCCTCCTGCTTCTTGTCCTCGTAACCCGCATTTTGAATCTTTGACTATCATCCCATCCCCCTTCTGAAGATGTATATTACACTTAAGTCAATTGAATCCGCAAATCAATACCCCAAACAGGGTATAATCTACATCAACCGCTAAACTGGTTGATGCGGACTATGTCAATCGATCAAATATATGAAGTGCGGACGAAATGTCTCTCTTTCTCTCTCTCTCTCTCCTTGGCATATATATCATCGTTGTAATCTTTTAATCGCAGCAGTGTCGTCCTTGTAAGTTGCTTCTCCCCCCCTCCCCCACCTCCACCCGCCCATCTTTCCCTCTTTTCTTTTTGATGATTCTCTTCCACGTCCTTGGCAGCGCCGTCGTCGTCGTCGGCGTCGTTCTCCTCTTCCTACTACTCCTCCGGGTCGCTCAATCTTTTTTTTTTTTTTTCCTTCACTTCGTTTCACGTACGTATAAGATTCGCTGAATTTTCTTGTCCATCTCCCGCTCATCTTTTGTTCTTCTCCCTTTGGTCCCTGATTTTCTCCTCTCCTCTCCACTCTCCTCTCTCCTCTCTCCTCCTCTCCTCTCCTTTTCTTTCCGATTCTTTGCGTGTCGGTATGACATTTTTGGGATTCTCGTCGATTTCTTGTGCTAATCTAGCAGACAGCGTTTCTTGTGATGCAGTATATACATATATATTTGCGCTCTGATACTCTTGTGACAATATATATTTTATATATGTATATATATCGTCACATATATATAAATATATAGTCAAACAGAGCTGCACGGTAAACCGTACGCAGAGAGGGAGAAGAGGACAACAAACGAGGGGCTGTGGCAAACTGTTTCGTCTGCGTTTCATATATATATATATGATATATATATTCACAGACACTCGTTTGTTGTCCTCTTCTCCCCTCTGCTCTCCCCTCTGCCTACGGTTTACTGGGCAGCTCTGTTTGACGATATAAGTGTATATCGTCAAACCAAACCGCGCGGTAAACCGTGGGCAGAGAAGTATACATATATGTATAAGTATATATATGACGATATATGTATAAGTATATATATGTATGTGACGATATATGTATGAGTATATATATGTATGTATATGTATGTATATGTAAAACGATATATGTTGGTGTGGTTGATTGTTTTTTGCACGTCTCCAGCAGCGGGTGCTGCTCCCCCCCCACCAGCTTTTTCTTCAGTGTTAGTCTATTAGCTGACTTTACCATAGTAGTTGCAGTTTTTTTCTTTTTCTTTTGCAGTTTCTTTTTCCAAGTATTGGCTGTCGTCTTCAGTCTCAGGTGCCTGTAGGTTTCCATTTTCCTTCCGTTTTTTTAACATATTAGCTGTTCGGATCGTTGGCCCACTGTCTTCTACAGAATAGAAGGCCCGGTCATCATAGTTATACAACTTATACTTGGTATTTGTCACAACTTCCAGTCTAGATACAGTGATAATGTCCGTGCATTCTGTCTGGATGAAGGCAGTAGTGAATTTTTGTAGTTATGTGCTTATTTAGGGTTCGTCAAGAACTCCCATTTCGGATTCTTTTTTTTGTTTTTTTTTTTGTTTTTTTTTTTTGTTTTTTTTTTTTTTTTTTTTTTTTGTTTTTTTTTGTTTTTTGTTTTGTTTTTTTGTTTTGTTTTGCTTAGTCCTATCTTTCTTTTCATTTTCTAAAACGTCTTTTGTTATTTTTTTTTCTTTGACAGCCAGAGTTTTTCGCTCTCTTCCTCTATTCACCCTCTCTCCCATATCCGCTCCTTTTTCCACCTGGTGCGACCTTCTCATCGCCACCGCCTGATTGTTTTCCCATCGCCATAGCCTGGCAGTTCTTTTTTCTGGTTTTTTTTTTTTTTTTTTTAATTAATGATTTTTTCAAAAAGTTTTTCACATTCTAAAACTTTTTTTTGTTATTCTGAAACGTCTTTTTGTTATTCTAAAACGTTTTTTGTTATTCCTTTTTCAAAAAGTAACGTTTTTTGTTATTCCTTTTTCGAAAACTTTTTCACATTCTAAAACTTTTTTTTGGAATTTTGTTTTCATTACTGTTTTTTTCAAAAACGTTTTTCACATTCCAAAACGTTTTTTGTCACCCCCTCTTCTTGTGTTCCTCCTCTCCCACCTCCGCGTCGTCTCACACCACCACACCTGGTGCGACCGTCTCATGCATGTCGAGTGCGAGACTCGAACACACGAACTTACGGCTCGGCAGGCAATCATGGCCATTGCCTGACAGCCTTCTCATCGCCATCGCCTAACGGTCATTCCTCGCTCTTTTTTTTTTATTAATTTATTATTAATATTATTAATCTTATTATTTTTTAATTTAATTCCTATTTTTTCAGAGTCTAGAAAGTTGTTTGTATTCATTTTCCTTGTCAGCCATACTATTTTTCGATCTCTCTTCCTCTGATGAGAACAGCAAAACAGTCAGAACGAAGCCTGACCAGACGCACGTGCACTCGTCATAGCCGCAAGTTGCAGCAATAAATGCACAAGAGATCTCGAAATTCAGCAGATGATTGGAACGTACGTTATCGCGCACACCGCCACCATCGACTACGTTACCATAGCCGGCTGTGGGAGCATCACCTCCCTCCTTCACGCTGCTGAAAAAGACTGCCGCTCGAGAAGACGAAGGTGTCTGGCTACTCTCCGCGACTACCGTCTTCCCCCGAACACAACGCACCCACATTTTTTCTGAATCGGGCCGGAAACATATCTTGTATACGTTCATATTCAGGGTGCGTTATGTTTGGGGGAAGACGGTAGTCTCGGCCGCTGCCAGTTAGCGACCTCCTCAGGGGGTCAATTCAGATACTGCGGCGACCTTGTTATCGCCGTATCACCATCGACATACAACCCTCTCATCACCATCGCATGAGAGCCTGGTTATCGTTATCTTTCCTTAATTAGTATTATTGTTTTTTTTTTTTTTTTCGTCATCCAGTTTTTTTTTTTTTTTTTTTTTTTTTACGGACTTGAAATTTCTTTTTACATCCTATTCAGTGAATCAGATTCTGTTAANTTTTTTTTTTTTTTTTTTTACGGACTTGAAATTTCATTTTACATCCTATTCAGTGAATCAGATTCTGTTAAGAGCGTGGTTATCGTCTTTCCTTAATTAGTATTATTGTTTTTTTTTTTTTTTTTGTCATCCTGTATTTTTTTATTTTTTTTTACGGACTTGAAATTTCATTCTAGATGACCCTTAGTCCCCCCCGCCCCCAATTTTCTCTTTCTCCCCCCTCCTCTTCACCATCTTTTTCCTAATTTAGAAAACAGGCATTGTCGTTATATTACCTGCATCGTTTTTTGTTTTTTTTTTTTCGAGTTTCTTTTATTGTTATCATTACTATCCTTACTATTGCTGAATTTTTCCTGGCAGGTCGTTTTTTTTTTTTTTTTTTTAATGGGCGGACCATTAGCCGTGATCTCCTGAATTGACCATTAGCCGTGATCTGCTTTTTTTTTTTTTTTTCATGGACGGACCCTCCTACGTATTTAAGAACTAGTGTTTCGTTCTTATATTGCACATCTGATTTTATCTGATTCGAACTCTGGTCTGTATTTCAACAGTGCACGGGTGGTGCTCATGGGTGGGGTGTACTGAGCTACTCCCTTCTTCCCTCGAATACAACGTACGGTCAGGATAGCTGTATTTAGACTGAATGACACGCCAAATGCAGCAGCTAGAATGACCGTACGTTGTATTCGGCCGGCGGAAGAAGGTAGGCCCTTCGGCGGGGGGGTTGCTGTTTCATCGTAAACTATTGAATTGATCGGTTAGTGTTCTTGTCGTATTTTTATTATTTATTGTTTCTCTCGTGCATGTGACCACCGTTTTATCTTTTTTTTTTTTTTTTTTTTTTTTCGTTTTATTTTTTGTTGCCGTGGTTTGATTTTTATTTTTTTTCTTAAGCGGCGCCACTTTTTTTTTTTTTTTTTTTTCTTGCGCAGTGGCCATGCTAATCTTCAGTCTCTGTATCGTTCCAATTTTAACGGATGTCCCGAAGGATTTTAAATTATTATTATGATTATTATTATTATTTTGACCATTTTTCTCGACTTATGCGTGTCATCCTTACGCAGGGACCGTGCTAATCTTCTGTGTATCAAAAAAAAAAAAAACTCGATAACTGAAGTTCGTAACTAGGCTACCAGAGTGGCCCGGGACCACTTGCGCGGCCGGGCCAAACAAAATTAAAATTAAAGAAAAATAATTGAATTTATTTACTAGGCTACCAGAGTGGCCCTGGGTCCGCTTGCCCGGCCGGTCCAAAAAGAAAAAGAAAAAGAAAATAAAATAATATTTTTTAATTTATATTTTTATTTTAAAGTTGGTAAATAATTTCGATTTGACTCTGAGACAAAAGTTGTTCGGTTTATTTTTGTGCATAACGTAGTTTTCTTTCGGATTTTTTGGAGTTTTTTTTTGGCTGGGACCTTCCGT